TGTTCGGAGATGGCCTGACATGCCTGGCCTTTGTTGGCAAAATGCATTCCCCAGTGCTTGCTTCTTGCTCATCTCAGCGTCTCCATAGCAAAGGATTCGCCTCGCTGGATCTTCAGCGCCTTAGGAAGAACTGTGACAGAGGACGTGTCCAAAGCCAGCAAGCTCTGTGTAAATGCACTTGAAATAGGGTCTTAAGTTACGTTTCAAGGTTGGGGTTGCCAACACCTCTAAACCCTACATATACTCATGCAATCTGCATTCCAAAGTAACACCAACGTACATCTTGATGTCTATCAGGCAAAAAAGAAGTGATCTGGCTCATGGCACTGTGCTGGAAGTCTACAGGCATCGTCTGCATGGCCTGCATGTGTCTGCACACTCCACATGGGGCAAGAACTCTGCCATTTCAAGCTCCATACTCTGCGCATTGCTTGTATTGTTATTCTTATGGTTACTATTCTACGACTACTTTATAACTACTACTAATATTACTATTACGATTGGTTTTGTGAATTATTAATACGAACATTATGAGGGGACGGATGCCTTTGATGTTCCCCCCCCCCCCTCACGGTCGCAATGAATATTATTACTACCAATATGATCATCAGTCTTGTTACGAATATTGATATCACTACCATGAATATTATTGATATTAGTATTAACCTGCACATTGTTCATATTGCAAATGTTTCGTTCTGGCTAAATCAGGCCTGCTTCAGCATAGAACCAACGTCTGGAACCACGCTCCAGGCAGGCGGCACGCCAACCTCGACAAAACAAGCCATACTAAGATTAGTCATAATGAAAAATAACGGTAGTGGTGGTGGTAGTAGTAGTAGTAGTTATAGCAGTTATAAAGGTAATCGTAAGAATAACAATAATATTAATGGCAACAATAATAACACGCGGTGTGTATTAGTTCTCAGTATGAAAAGTAATGTGTAAGAAAGAAGCGTGCAGACATCTGAGGCAGCCGTCTGGGCCGATTTCCACCCCATTCCAAGTCTAGTCCCCTCCCCCTAATATTAAACGGCCCCACCTCCCCTTAACATTAAATACTCCCATTATGTAGTATATTATAAGATATTGGGAGTACTTGATATTACAGGGGCCGGGGTGTTTAACATTAGGGGGAGAGGGTTAGCCAGTTGGGGGCCCAAGCAGCAGGGCCAAGGGGGGCCCGGGCCCAGAGGGCCCTCAGGGCACCGGGCAGGGTCTGTACATCGGGGTTATCTATACGAAAATGGGGTATGTATTGGGATGATAAACCAAAATATTGGGAAATAAAATGGAAACTACTAGATTATGATAGGGTATAGATTTTTCTTAGACACCAGCCCAAAGCTCCTGCAGAGTTCCGATGAGTTCCGGCAGCCTGGCTTGAACTTCTCTCGTTTGCGCCGGTTGGTTGAAAATATAGTCCCCTTAAGTAGATAGAATATGGCTTTGGGTATATCAAAATATGACCCCCGCATACCTCATATTCTACCTAATAAAGGGGGACTATAGGTGGTGCGACAATTTCGAACATAACGCCACGTCATTAATTTGATCGCGGTGCCGCTGTTGCAGCATCGGCTGCGCTGGCGTGAAACTGCTTCCCGTGTGCTTTAGATGACTTATTGTACAACTTTCCCTCTCGTCTCCGTCTCATCTTACCGGGAGCACCTGTCTGCCTCCGGGGTCGGCGGCTTGAGCCGGAGGCTTTTATCATTATGAATACGATCAAGATTACCCAGATATCATTACTATCCATTCACTTACAAAAGTCGCGAGAAATCTGTCGCTGGGAGTGCATGGCTCAGTCCCACGCAATAGGAACTGGAAAAGGTTGCAGTATCTGAACGGGCTGGACAACCTGCGAGCACAATTTAGAAGTCCCGTGCCAAATCGTAGAGGCTAGAGATTGAGATTTCGACAGATTTGCAACAACGCTGCCAAGATGCCAAGACAGGAGCCACAGAACACGGCCAATCAAGCATGGGAACCTCCAGCGAAGGGCGATGTGCATTTTAGGCCTCTAGGTTTGGTAAGAATCTCGGCTGGAATATGCAAAAAAAGAACTGTGCTGGCGAGATCAAGTGAAGCACAGGAAACGTTTGGCATTCAGGCGCGGTTATGACCTGGACTCTTACTGCACATGTAGGCTGGTCCCAGCATGACCCAGTAGAGTTTGCCAAGCCCGCGGCCACGTGCGCTGTCATGTTGACTGCTGCTGCTCGTCGTCTTGCTCGTGCAAGTCTGTGCACGTGTATCCCATGCTTGCACCCTGAGCCAAAATGGCGAAGGACGCATGCTGCTGAAAGCCAGGTTGCAATGAATCAAAGTCATGCAAAGGGTAGTTTCCCCAAAATAGAGGGAACCCAGCTTAGACCCCCGAAATACGAAAATCCTTCTTATCGGGACCCCCACAAAGTACCTCCTAATCTTGGGAAACCCCAACATACCCTAAACCCTATACCCTAAAACCCTAAAACCCTAAAACCCTAACCTTTTATCACCCGCCCCCATATGAGCTATAGTCTAAACTCCTAGTATCCCCCTTAATAACTCCGAAAATACTCCCTGTATAATCCCTTTAAGGAGTTTAAATTATGGCTCATACAGTATACCCTAAACCCTATAAGCCTGTATACCCTGAACCCTATAGCCCCCTGTCTTATGGGATGCTTGACAGGCCAAAGGTGTCATGCCCACGTGCGCCTTCCACGAGTCCGGCAAATGTGATGCAGGCACGGCAGCACACGCCAGCCTGAGACTCACTAAATCTTACTAGGGGACATGGTAATAATAGTAATAATAAGAATATTAGTAATGATAATAGTAATCATCATAGAAGTACTAACAGTAATAGCAATAACATAACAATAGGGAATATGGGAATACATAATATGGGCGTTCTATAGGGATTATATGCCCTCATTCCCTAGTCAGAACCAGTAAGGAGATGATCATGGTATAGAATGGCGAACCCACACGATTCCGTGCAAATTTTGCCGTACGAAGAAGCCGCAGAGCAGACTTCGGCCAGTCGTTTCTCCGACGGACGTACACCACGGCACGACTAATCCACGGAAGAAAGTACAAAAGCCCTATAACCCCAGTTTCGATTTCATTTGCCATTTGATTCTCCACTATCATCCCTAACAGAACCCCACTATAACCCCAGTAGAACCCCAATATAACCCTAATATAACCCCAATAGAACCCCAATAAAACCCTAAACCCTAAACCCCAGTATAACCCCGATATAGGTCACGGCCGCTCTTCTGGCAAACTGTCTGCCGATTCAGCAAACGTGAATAGAACCTTTCGGGCTTTCGGGGCCTTCAGCGCGCAGAACGGCAAATTTACGCGCAATCGTGTGGGATCGCCCTTCTATACCATGATCATCTCCTTACTGGTTCTGAGTAGGGAATTAGGGCATATAACCCATATAGAACCCCTGTATGATATACTCCCAGATCCTCTATTATTCTGTTATTACTATTATTGTCATCACTATTATGAATACCATGATTATAATGTGAAAGTGCACGTCTGTTTGACTAGTTGAGGGCCCAAATCGGGTGAGCAGCTTTTAAGCACTTTCAATGCCATATGGCAAACTTGTTCAGCCGGCAATGGAGACCGGCCATCATAGGGCATGGCCTTACATTCCCCGTTACGTAGATAGAATATGGCTTTGGGTAAATTCTTAATACGATTCCCATATACCCCATATTCTACCTACTTCTAAGGGGGAACAGAACCCCAACATATAACCCATTAGAATAAAGTAGTTTCCATGTTCTTTTCCATTATCCCTATGTAACCCCAATATAACTCTAATATTACCCTATATTCTATCTACTTAAGGGGGACTATAACCCTAATAATCCCTGTATATTCCCTAGTTTCCATTTCATTTTCCATTTTCTTTTCCATTTCATTCTCCATTATTGGGGTATTCTATCTACTTAAAAGGGACTACAAGCATGTTCGTCTCCGAGCTTCAGAGCCTTCCTAGCATCCATGGCTTTAGGTAACAGCTTGGGCTGGGCGTGGCAGATGTGGTTGTCTTAAGCCCTCTCCCGCAACACGAACTCCAAATATAATGGGGTTTAGGGGCCCAAATGCCACTAATTCTATAGTATTTGGCTCCTAAACCCCCACTATTTGGGTCCTTGGACCCTTTGGCACGATCTTGACAAAGCATTATCAGACTGGCTGTGGCAAGTGGTATACTTGCCTGCTTTTGTTCTAGAAACACTGCTCTAGAATTGCAGCCACCATAGACAGGCAGAAGTAGCCTTCAGAAGCAAAGGCTAAGTTCAAGAGCACCCTAAACCCTAATCCCTAAACCCTGATCCCTAAACCCTAATCCCTAAACCCGAATGCCTAAACCCTAACCCCTAAACCCTAATCCCTAAACGCTGACCCCTAAACCCTGAACCCTAACCTGCACTGGTCTGCGGTGACGATTGCCGGCAAGCAGCTTGGAGAGCCCTAGATGTCATGGCTTACTGGGGGCAAAGGAATCAGGGACTATATGAGGGTTTCCCAAAATTAGGTGTACCTTTTTGGGGGGTCCCTATAATAAGGACTATAGCATTTTGAGGTCTTTATTGGGGTCCCCCTATTTCGGGAAACTACCATATTAACCCCCATAAAATGCGCATAAATCCCTATGTAATGTATTCCCTTATTCCCCACTGACCCCCAGGAAGATGGCTGAGTCGAAGAGATGCCAACATTCTGGACGCGCCAAGTTTTTGCGAGGAAGCAGCAGCCTCTTACTTCGATGGCAGGAGACAGGCTACACTTCTAAGTCTCTAAGCTCTTCCAGATAGCTTCAGGAGCTACAGGCCCAAAAATCGCGAAAGCCGCGCCACTACATTAGTGAGCTCCTGTTGCACATGGTTTCTTTCAACCGTACTGGAGGGAGCACTGAATAAACTTGTGCTGGCGTTCTTCACCAGAGGCTGGTCTTACCCAGCTGCAGAGCAGCCGAATTTTTATGTAGCTTGGCTGTTATGCAAAGCAAAAACTCGCGCGATCTCCTTCATGGGCACACCACCTTCCTTCGCAGCGTTCCGTGCCACTTTTATCTGTGCTACATCCCCACTGGCAGCTGCAGCAGCCAGATTGTCCAGGAGCACATCATGCTCCTTCTGTGTCTCTGCTTTGGTGGCCAGCAAATTCTCCAAGGCCTCTTGCATGGCCAGCTTCTCCTCGAAATGGAAACTACTTGGGTCATAATCCCCTTAAGTAGATAGAATATGGCTTTGGGTATCTTATTCTAAGATCCCCATATACTCTATATTCTAGCGACTAAAGGGGGGGGACTAGAACCCAATGTAACCCTGATATTACCCCATATTCTATCTACTCAGGGGGGACTCTAGAGTGAACCAGCCAATGTCAACCCATGGAGCCGCGTCCTTCACAAATCCCCTCTCATCCGCCTCCTCAATGCAACTGCGCAGCCTTGCATCTCTCCCATCCTGAGAACATCAGAAGTGAGGGTTTAGGATTTAGGGTTAGGCGTTTAGGGTTTCGGGTTTAGGACTTCCACAGCCAACCACTTTTGCTTTCCTGCAGATCGAGCATCCGTTTTGGCGCTTGATGCACGTTGCAGTAAGTCCTTCCGGGCTGCCTGCCACACACACCATTGAGACTACACTTTGCGAAGCTTTCGGAGCTTTAGCTTCAAACTTTCTGGGGCTTAGCAGGGAATCAGGGACCATACGACGTAAGGATGATATTCAGGATCATATAATAAAGTCCAAAATATACTCACCATAGAATACGCTCCATTCCAAAAAAGTACCATCTACATTCCCTCATTCCCCACTAAATAAACCCGAATCCCTCAACGCTAAACCCTAAGCCATAAACCCTAAGCCCTAGACCCTAAACCCTTAAACCCTAAACCCTAAACTTAAACCCTAAGCGCTAAACACTAAACGACTAAACCCCCAGTAAGTAACAACCCTCACCTCACGCTCGCGAAGCTGCCGCAGCTCCCGCTCCGCGCTAGTGACCGCCTCACCTCCCAGACCCGCCCTGGCGCGAACACAGGGTTTAGGGTTTTAGGGTTTTAGGGTTTAGGGGTTAGGGGTTTAGGATTTAGGGTTTAGGGGTTTCGGGGTTTAGGGCTTAGTTTTCGGGCTTAGGTTCAAATGACGATGCTAACAAGAGTAATTAGAACAATAATTCTAGGAGTACTAACTGCAACTTTTAACATCAAGAATAGTAAGAGTCGTCATAGTCACAATAACAACAACAGAATATCAAGAATCAAAAGGCTGCGTTGAGCAACAGGCCCTGTCCTTATATGAATAATATTAACAATAATACGAAGAAGAAGAAGAATAGCCATAATCACAGCAGCAGCAACAACAACAACACCCTAAACCCTAAACCTAATATGAAGAATTCAAAGGCTGCAGTGAGCAGCAGGCCTTCTTGCGGCACCCAGAGCTTCACCCAAAGCTCCCGGGTCGCCTGCTGCCGCAGCCCGGTCCAGTGCTTTCACCTGATATGGTTTAGGGTTTATGGTTTAGGGGTTTAGGGATTAGGGATTAGGGATTAGGGTTTTGGGTTAGAGTTTTGCGTTTGAGGGTATTCATTGTGATTATTATTGTTATTATGTCTTTTGTTCTATTAGTGGTATTTGTAAAAAGGTCAAAGGTAATTTTCATTATCTATTAGTCTGATTATTCCTTTTATGCTTATCATTACTACAATATTTTGCCTATTTTAGTAATACTAGTTTTACGGGCATCCCCGCAGAGGACACGAGAATATATATATATATGTGTGTGTGTGTATACAATGACTATTAGGAAGCAAGCTCTCGCAGTGGCCCCTTCTGCACTAGTACCATGACTACTACTATTCTTATTACTATTACGAATAAGATTACAAATACTATTACTAGTACGGCAATGAGTAGTAGCACGATTACACAGATACGATTAGAAATAAAATTGCAATCATTTCTGCTAATATTATTAGAACCTCCTAGCAACATCATTACGACTATGGCAGGCAGTTGAAGGTGGAGGTGTTACGAAGCTTTCGCTTGTGTAAACGCCCTTTCGGGACCAAACCCTCTGGCAACCCGAGCTTCCATTTGATTTTCCATATTCCTATCCGCTTATTGTAGGGGTAGTCCCCCCCTGGCCCTGTATAGCCCCTATATAACCCTAGCATCAACTTGTTTCCATTTGATTCTCCATTATTTTTGTAATGGCCCTACAAAAACACTATAGAAACCCTGCATGACCCCTATGATTCCTATACTCCTTCTATAAACCCTATCTTATCCCTATATAGCTTCACCCTTCTATACTCCCAATTACTCCGCCCCTAAAGCCTTAACCCTAAACCCTGTATACTGCTTCTACAATCCCCATGTAATCCCTAGATTTTTTATCCTTCTACACCCTTAACCCTTAATCCATCCTACCCTAAAGGGGATACCAAAATTCCCGTAAACCTTAAACCCCAAACCCTGAACCCCAAACCCCGAACCCTGTACCAAAATCCCCCTAAACCTTAAACCCGAAACCCTGAACCCCGTACCAAAATCCCCCCCCCACCTTCTGCTCGCGCTCCTGCAACATCTTGCAGCTCAACAACTGGCCGAGGTCCGGGTCCGCAGTCCTTAGCTAGGTAGGTTTAGGGTCTAGGGGTTTAGGGTTTGCCACTTGCCACATGCATCCCCAACTCATTCATTCAAGTCTCAACATCCACCCTCCTCCATCTTCGGCACATACCCTGATCCATCCGCCGTATCCTGCAGCACCACTTTCACATCCACTGAAGTTTGAAGAGTGATACAAGCAGCGAATTCATCTCACACATGCATGTGCTGCATCAGAAGACATGTACATCATCACGGAAAACGCCACGGAATACGAAACTCTCGAGTAGACTCTGCATGTCAAACACCATGAAAACCGTGTAGACATGGCGCCTCTAGGAGCTTTTATGGGGGTTTCCCAAAATTAGGGGTACCCTTTTGGGGGTTCCCGATAATAAGGAAGAGGGATTTTGGGTCTATGTTGGGGTCGCCCTATTTATGGAAACTTCCGCAATCTAGGCACCTACACATTCAGTCCCTTTCAGACAAATCACAGCCACCCAGCATCAGCTGCAATTTCAAGGGCCCGCCAAGAAGTTCAGCCCCCCTTTGTTTCCATCTCAACTGTGCTGAAGGAGCGTGTCCGAATGCCAAAGCTGAAGGCGATGCCCGAACGATATCTCCAACCCCTTGATCCCAAGAAATCTTGATCCCAACTCCCACAAGGCACTCCTGTTTAATGCTGTCTACATGGCTGTTTCAGATGTCAATCCAGCAGCCGGCTGCACGTAGATATTGCATGCGCTTCGCATTTTCTCATGATGTTATCTAACAATGGCCTAGCCTGAAGCAAGGCTTTCCCGAGTAGACGCTCCATCGGTGCATGAACACAAGCGATGTAAGATACATTTACTCCTGGTAGCACTGAATGAGGGAGCACGAACAAATGCATAGCTAGGATGGAAACTAGAGACAAAGTAGGTAGAATGTAGGCCCGGCCTTGAGCATCAGCGCGGAAGCTCTCGCCGAACTTGCGAGTTCCCTAGCCAAGTGTGAAAACTCTGCAATGACCAAAGCATTACACAACAGAACAGCATCTCCCATCCCCTTCCCAAGCCTGAGTGAAACAGCTTTGCCTCATGCAAGAACACCACTTTGCTTGAAATGCCTAAACCCCGAACCCTAAACGCTTAATCCTAAACCTACCTCTAAACCCCTAAACCCTAAATCCTAAACCCCTTACCCCGTCCAAGCCTGAATCGGCCGGCTCTTCGATGGTCCAACCCGCACTGCCACCAGCGGCTTGTACACGACTTCAAAGACCAATGCCTGGGGTTTAGGGTTTGGGGTTTAGGGTTTAGGGGACCAATGATTTACTGGTGCTTCGTACGGAAAATGGGAATGCAAAGGATATATGACATAGTGATGATATTGGGGTCATCTTCCCTACTTCCCTGCTAACAGCCAGTAAGGTGCTGTTGCTGTGGCTTGCGATTCTGGGAGAACCAGAGTCGGCGGCTTGCCAACGGCGCTGAGAATCTTTCCGATTCCCTGCTTTCCAGCCATATCCTTGATTATATATCCTGGCTGTCCATGGAGTTTTACCCAGCCATCGAAGGTTTCTTCGCAAGCGCGCACCGTGTCGCCTTGCTCCTTCTTGCCACAGAGCGGTGAGTGCAAAGAAGGCTCCTGCCGCACATATGCAAACTCATGAACCACCCGATATTCTTGTGTAGGAACAGGCGGCAAGCTGCCAGAGGTTTGCGGTGAAGCAGCCGCGCGCTCGACCTTTGGTGCATTCGCCCTTGCGACTCGCGCTGTCTCTTCTTCGGACACCTTCCTCGCATGCTGGCGGAGCGCTCGCAGCGTTTGATCTGTGAAGGCTTTCTCACCCGCGGCCTTGAACTTGTGGTTGATGCCAGAGGAGCCCTCAGACTGCAACACCTTTAACAAGCTGGGAATATCTACGACGTGGACTTTCGCCAGCTTTTCGCAAACCGACGTTACATCCTTGCCAGACCACTCTGGCTTGGCAGCTTGAAGGAACGTAGCAACAGTCAATCCACTGTAGGCCTTGCTGGCACCTGGGCGGGCTGGGAAGGATGCCTTGGGCGTCGTGTTCCGCGGATTCAGATGCACCCATTCGATACGATCTGGCCTACCGTTTGCGGCATAAATGAGGATGACTTCATAGCGGCCCCCTGCAGCAACTTTGTCGCTTGCATGCTTGCCGATGGTCCAACTGTAGCCCTTTGCATTGTCATCCGGCCCAGTGAGGCGATGAAATTCGTGAGGATTTGCCTTACTGATGAATCGTAGGGAAAACGGGAATATGATCCGTATATAATCCCTATGCAATCGTAAACCCTCAACCCTCATATAATCCCTATTTACTCCCTATGTATACACTCTTTCTAGCATATTCATATATGTTCCCTTGTCCCCTATTAACCCACAGTGAGTTGCATCTGGGCGGTCAGGATGGAGACAGCGGCCCAGCCCATCGCCGGGCACAAAAAGCTGGAAACTTTCACCTTACTGGAGGTCAGTGGGGAATCAGGGAATGTAGGGACACTGTAGGGGTATCAGATGGATGATATAGGGTATAGGGTTTCGGGAATATTTTGTGTGGGGATTATGTAGGGATTATGTTTCCTTCTTCCCTGCTAACCACCAGTAAGTCACTGGAACCTGACGGCAGCTGAACCTGGAACTTATGGCATCGACGTTGGGGTTCGATGATCATCCGCTGCGGCCTCCAATTATTCCAGCTGCCTGCAATGTCAATGGCGCTGGAGTCGGCACGCACATAGTCCGGAGTGGGCCGGGAGAAAGAGCCGCGGCGCGCGTCCTCCGCACTTGGCCGGCGGTGCGCGTCCTCCGCAGTGGGACGGCGGCGCACGTCCTCTGCGCTGGGGCGGCGCCCGTTCTGAGCGTCGGCCCTCTGCATGTCTGGACTGTCTTCCAATCGCAGATTTTTGGCCTTTAGTAGCTTGTCCCCCTCCCCGTCCAAGCGCACCTGCCACCGGTCGTTGTGAAGCTTGACCAGCGTTCCCGTGGCCGAGTTGAGCGCTTGCTGTTTCTCCAGCCCGACGACTCGCACACGCGCGCCTGGGCTGAATCCTGCCTCACTGGCCACACTCGCCAAGGTCTCCGGCCGAATGAAGCCAGCATCTTTCCTGGCAGGCAAAACGATACCGGCTGCATGTCACTCATTGTACCTTGTTCCTCCCTGTCCATACGTGATACCCCAGCATCCTAGAGTCACACTCTGCCCCCCTTGGCTGCAGCTAAATAGGCAGCACCCTGAATTAGCGCCTTAGCGTCTGCCTCCGTCAATGCCTAAGAGAGGCAGAATCCTGTTTGGAACGTTTCACAGACACCAGCATGAGAAACGGCCTCCTAAGAACGACACGGACAAGCAATCGATGAATCTGGTACAACACGCCACTCATGCTCTCAGCAAGTCCCTGCCCCTATGGAGTGATTGTGTTGTATTAAGGTCCTCTTATATTATATTGCTATTATACCACTATTACAGGGCGGGGGGTCCCGTCTAATGTATACCATCCCCTCTGGAAAAGAACTACCCTAACCTCCAAACCTTAGACCGCAAATTCAAGCCCTAAGCCCTAGACGCTAAACCCTACTCTTGCGCCAGGCGTCTCTGGCGAGGATCGTGACCCCACATTTGCCGAGAAGCTATGGACTCCACCGCTCCGGTGCTGATTCTCCGTTCGAGGCCTATAGTCCCCCTTAAGTAGATAGAATCTGGAGTATATGGGGATCTTAAGATATACCCAAAACCATATTCTATCTACTTAAGGAAGACTGTAAGCTGCGGGTTTGGGGTTTAGGGCTTAGGGCCAGGGAGCCAAATACCCCTTAATTAATTAAGATCTATTTCTTAAACCCTATTAGGGGTCCTAGTATGACCTACTAAAACTATTATGACGTATACTACTATTCTTAGTGCTCTTACTATTCTTACCATTCTTACTATGATGGGGCCTAAGCTGCGACACTAGTACTTTTTAGAAGTACTGCTAATTCTGATGGCTGTTCCTAGCATTATTCTTAGTACTACTACTAGCAATGATGGGCGTTTCTATCGTTATTCTGATTACTAGGTCTAATTATGATTACCCTTTATCTCATTACGATCACCATTCCTATTATGATTGGTATTGTTATTATTCCTACCATTAATTACTATTACTGTTATGACTGCTATTGTTACAACTCCTACCATCCATACTATCATTACTATCATGACTTTTTATTACTATCATGACTATTGTTATTATTGTGCATGTTATTACTATCATTACAATTCTTCCTATGATCACTATTACTACAATTAGTATTCCAATTATTTCGGTTCCCACTACTCCTACAAGTGTTGTTACTACTACAATATTATTACCATATAATTACAGTATATTACAACATAACATTATTACAATATCTAGCATATATTATGACTATTATTACCATTATCACTATCATTGTTACCAATTCTCACCCGCCTTCGTGCTGGCTCCCGTGGCTCGCGTGGAGGTGGAGCCGGCTCGGCGGAGCTGCGAAAGGCCTCATGCAGTCAAATGGACTACAATCTGAACGGCTTAAAGGGGGCGTTACGTAGGGGACCATGTAGGGTTTAGGGTTTAGGGTTTGCACTTTACAGTCACCTCATTATCATCATTGTTATTATCTGGGAAGTTTTCTCACTGTAGAATCCTCGATCCATCTTGCTTACTCCTGTCATCAAATTAGTTTTCTACCTTGCCCTTTCGGGTAAACCTTGAGGCCCAAACATCCAGAAAGATCACGACAGTACAAATACCAATGGTCTCAACCCCCAAGCCCTCAACCTTAGACCCTAGACCCCAAAAGAGATTTCCTTCTCTATCAGTGACGCCCTTCTGAAAAAGACTTGGAAACCTGCACCCACACCCTGCCATGGGAGCTTCATACAGTGGATACTAGAAATCCTGCACAGCCCTAACTAAGGCCTTTGGAAATACGGACTATAGTAAACGAAGGTCGCGCAAGATTGATTTGCGTCAGCTATACTGGGTTGTTGCTGTTAGGAACTTAAACTGAATCACCATAAGACCAGAATGGGTATATAGTCATCCTAAAGTAGATAGAATCTGCCGATTTTAAAAAAAAAACTATTTTCACAAACGGATAGATAGAATATTTGGGGGGAAATTCATGGCTCCAGAAAGGAGCCCCAAACCAACTGTCCAAATGGTCAGATTCCTATTATAATTGATTGAAAATGATCAGATTCCCTTTGACATAGAGTAGGAATGGTCAGTTCGCCTTTAAAATTGAATAGAAATGGAGATTCCCTTCATAATTGAATA